CTGGAGATAAAACGCTTCCACTCTCCAAGGAATGAAGCGTAACTCGACACGACAAACGATCAATTACCAGCCATGAATAGTTCTCGTTCAGGCAGCTGTGTGTTGTCCGGTCCAGCAACCTAACCCGGTGCAGTGGTTCTGTCCCTTTGTAATTTGTTAATTGTTTTATGCCGAACGTGTTGGTTACATTAGATGCTGTAAACTTTAACCTTAAAAAGGTCAGGGGAGGGGAGTGGAAAGTGAAGGTGGTTTCAACCTAATAAAAACTGTGGAAAATAGAGATTTTTTTTTTTTTGAGAAATCTTATGAAGTTATGCTTCAATCCTTTATAGGGTTGCTTGGTAAATATATTGTATTGATTTACACATAATATAGTGTAACTTTATGATATTCTTAATATTCTCTGTTTAATTGTCAATATTTTTATCGTCATTCACAATCATTGTATAATTATAATAATAAGAACATGTAGATGTATAATTTAAAATATGTAATTATTATTAATTTATTGTAATGTGCCACTAATTACTACACGCATATAAATAAGTATTATTATATTCTGAAATATGCAGCTAATGTTCCTTTGTTCTCTCCATTAATTTTCAGCCGGAAATTTTTGGTTTCTTATTATTCCTATTATTCTAACAGCTTTGAAACCTTGAATACGCGAAAGTTACTACAGAAAGGTTGTAAAGAAAGTGCATTGATTCCGTACAGATACAGATCGTCGGGTTTATTCGTAGCTGGAGATCATGCATCGGATATGAGATATTATATGCAGTTATGCACACGTTTCATATATAGCGCGTATCGTACATCTTGCGTTAGAAATTAAGTCCACATTAATAAAGGAACTAATTTAATTCCACAGCATTGATTACTACATTATGCAACAGAATATCTTCAACCATTATACACGGTCAAGGCCGTAATTTTATTAGTATAACTGAATTCAAGTGATACCAGTGATTCCATACTTTTATTCTTAAAAATATATCAAATATCTTCTTATTTATAATTATAGAATTATATTTTGTGTATTTCATATGTTGTTTAATATCATGTGCATTTTCTATAAATATATAAAAATCCGCAGTCTATTTCTTCCTGTGATATTACTTAATTAAATAAGAAACTATTTTCCAACATCAAGCAACATAGATATTTCCCTGTTTCTAAAAATAAACCTATATGAATATTCCAGAGATTGTGGACATATCGCATAAGAATAATCTCATCATTTTTTAATATACAAAAATTTCCATCTAATTTAGCTTATCGTTACGTTGCCAAAGAAGCTGCGTGTTGATTAGTACACGCAGTTTTACAGCCAGAATAAAATCTCTTCAGTCACCCTCGACGTTGAACCGTTAAGGGGTTAAAGGTTAAAAAAGCGGGACATACGAATCATAAATAGGGATGCAGGGACGACGTTGTTAAAAGTTGGAACAGTTCAATGACAATCAACCAACAATCAGAAATGAAAGTGAATCTTTATGTGTAAGAGTTGTTTTCTAGAGCACTTTGTATCAACGAATATATCAATATAATTGTATAAATACAAACTTCACATGTTTATATATATAACATACAAACATAAAATCAGAAAGACTTCTAATTTCGAGTAACAGCATTTCAAATGCATTTATGAATTATATTTTTATTGTATTATTTACTTTATTTATTTTATTTATTTGAAAATGCTACAAATATTCAATAAATATTCAAAAAATATTAGTAATGGTCTGTATTCTCAATATAATTCTAATATTTTAAATCTATCATTCTACACTTGAACATTAGAAGACATTGAAAATTTCACTATATACACAGTCTATAAACATATAAACATATTTAAATTACTCAAGTTATTTAATGATTGCTCTTGAATACCATTAAAATACAGTATTTCATATTGATATCAAATATCATAAAGCAAACTGCAATAATTTTTTTTATTGCATCATGAAAGAAATCTATAATTTCTAACAAATAATATTAAACAAGCACTCATGTTTAGTTCCCTTGTATATCGACATTAAATTATGAAATTGTGAATAACATTTATACTATTTATGCTATATATGAAATTTTGGATGTATAATAAACCTAACCTAAACCTCACAAGTCTATGCAAGAGCATTAGAAGAAATCCGCCAGTCTCAGCAATTCTCATTTATGTAACTGAAATGAGTGAGTGAATTGTAATAGTTGATAACTAAATTCTAGGAAAAACATAAAACGAAGGAATTGAAACATATTGGAAAAAACGACTAATAAAGATAACGAGCACATTATCTACAGAGATTCCAATAGTAGTCATTCAGCTCTGGAAGCTATTAAATCGAGAAATCAAGCACCTCGTTAAACTCAAAGAAAACACACCGAAAAGTGTGAAATGTTTGATGAAACTTAACTTCTGTTCTTAGATAAATGCAGATAAACCATGTGTATAAATATTAACATTTTCTATATAAATTTTCAGCGATTTCACGATTTAGAGATATGGAAATATTATAAACAATTATTTTGTAATGAGAAGTAAAAAAAAAACTTCGTATTTTTATCGTAATTTATGTATAAACATACTAAATGATAAGACTACAGTTAATAATACGCACACGAAGTTCTTCGAAAATTTCGTGTAAAAAGTTTACAATCGTTCAAGTGCATGAGTGAGTGAGTGAGTGAGTGAGTGAGTGAGTGAGAGAGAGAGAGAGAGAGAGAGAAACACTGTACAAGTTGCAGCAGTCTGCTACCTATTTCTGGACGTGGAGCAGTGGCTTGGAATGAATCATACTGCTAAGAGATAAGCCTTCACTTTTTCCTTTCGTATAATCTAATTGAAAATTCTCGATATATATAAACAATGTCGCAGATACCTACATACATACGTTCGTATACGAATGTTCGCGATCCGTGGCCAAAGTTATTTTTAACCTACACAAAAACCCGCGTTACGTACGTACAAAACCATCCATGTACGTTTTCTCATCGTTAATTGAGACACCGATACAATTTCTTCGTGCTTCGATATTCTTCATAACTCACAGAGCCAGCAAAGAGAAATACATATTATTGTATCGATACGTAAGTAGATTCTCGTAACAGCAAGTGAGCAAGAGGTCTTCGTTGAGGCGATCATTGGCGATGATTCGCGTACAGTGCTGCCACCGGCTGAGATACGGGAGATTCCCGCAGCAAGCAAGTGAGTCACGCGTGCGAACGGGCTCGTTCGTCTGACGAAGCGTCCTTCCCCGCCCCACAGTCTAACAAAACGTCCCACTCATCCTCTGTAGACTGACGAAGCGCCAACACTCTCTCCCCTCCCCCCGCCGGCAAGAGCTGCAAGCGCTTCGCAACACCAAACGCACACGAGGACGGTTGTTGGGTTCCCCGCTGTGTCTCCGTGAGTCGACAAGACTCGACTTGACTCGGCTCCGTTCGCCTTGCCAGCCACGAGGAAACCCCGACACTTCTCCCCCTCTCATCCTTCAACCGAAACACGGTCCCCGCTCCGCTCCGCACTTGCCGCCTCATGATCGTTACCCCGCAATCTGCCCCGCCATCCAGCAGCCAGC